TTTTTTGTCCTGTCACGAGCCTGGGACAAAGAAAAAATTCTGAGTCCCCATGAAGGATCAAACCTTTACCGAGCTCAGAACTTGCCATCTCTCTTATTATCTTGTTGATCCTAGCTGTATGCAGGACGCGTGTCATATGAATTTCGTAATAGACCTCGCTCACTGTGAAGTCTGTGTGGCTCAGTGACGAGGAATCCGAAGGGGACTCAGAATTTTTTATTTGTCCCACGCTCGTGAAAAGACGAAAAAATTTGTATTTTTTCTCTACCTTTGCATGTTTAAGCATAAAATTATCATTATTATGATAAGGTTGCAGCTAATAATCGTGATGAATACACTTGCACATAGAGAAAAAGATTTTTTTTTTCCATGGCGTAGTCACTTTCGATGTAAAAAACGACATTTCGACTGTGTACTGCGAGTCTTCTTCAGGCGATAAGGTCGACAGAGTATTGCTTAAATAGTTTTTTGATCGTCGAAAACATGCAGTCAATATGTTGTCGAAACGTCGCGATCGACATCAAAAGTGATCACCTTGTCAGACAAACAATCATACCTAATAAACAAATCAATACCGTTTGCCGTATTCTGTATGACTCGTGCTCTGATCCTCGTAGTCTAAAATTAAGGATTCATCATCGTTAATTAAACGATAAAACGTAATTTCGTATCTAGTTTCGTATACGAAATTCGTATCTAGTAAAGCAAAACACAAATCATATAATAAAACTATGCTATCATGCCTATTATCGCATGAAAGAAGGTTTTGATATTATCAATCACACTTTGTGGTGCATGGCAAAGACAGGTGTGATATACTGTACTGTTCTGCGCCAGTTTTTTAATTAGCATAACAGTCAATTTCCCGCATTGTATACTTTCCATTTACGGTTTGCTCTGGCACAAAACAACGCAAGGTCCATCGTTTTTACAAAATAGTGTTCTCTGAAATATTTCTGAGAATGGAACTTTGCTCAGATCTGCAGGATATACAAATTGGAGAAAATAGTCCTTTTCTTCGAACACGTTAGTAACACACACGTAACTCTCAAAGAAGTATAAAGACCAAAACTTGTCAAATATGGGCAACCACACAACTATTATTAACTCTCCTGAGTGAGTACCAATGCTCCTTTAAAAACGTGACTTTCTGCACAGTAAGTATAATTACCACGAGAATATCTCGAGACATGACTCGAACCTATGGTCCTCCTAATAGCACGCGGAGAAAAAGAGGAGGCTAGACTGATAGAGCCTAAGGCGTTTTCTGATTATGTAGCTTGTTATTCATTCTGAGGGAGAGTTCCTTAGTAAACAACGTACCATACCATTATTGAACTCCTTAATTACTTTAAGTCTGGTTAAACACAAGGTCCTCCGTGTTGATGTGAAACTCTTGCGCAAAGATGCAAAGTGGGAAGGAGTAATTTGAGCTCGATTTTTGAGATCAAAGCTATGACAATTCTGGAAAAGGTAAATGAATGGTTAACACCTAGCTCTCCGCTCCCCGTGGTAATGAACATATTGCTGAAGCAGTAGCCACCTAAAAACTCTTCCTCGGGCCTTCTTCTTGAAAGAAAATGCAGACTCTCTTCATCTTTCCCCCGTCCACTTTTCATCGAAATTGCTAGCATAAACATTATTAGTTTAAAAACTTCCTTCAATTAGTTGAGTAAACGAAGGTAGAAAAGTCAACTCTCTCATACAAAAACAATTTTTAACACCGAGTAGATATTTTTCTTAACAGCTATGCAAAAGAAAAAGTCACCAGCTAAACCTCACTGACTAGTCTCATAAGGGCAGTTACTTCTGTGAATAATGAAAATGCAAAAATCATCATATTTGACCCAAGACATAACTACTAAATATCAAATTAAAAAAAAAATACATATATTAAAAATCTCATATTCAGTATTAGATGTTCAAGAAACCAATATAATTTCTAAGCTGCAAATGTATTGATCACCCGCTAGGTCACATTAAACAGCCTCGTGATGGTTGGATATTTATTGCTGAAAAAGGATAAAGTAAGGCATGAACTGTAACTTCGCGGGAAATTAATTCCGCAATACTGGCGAGGAGATATATCGTGGGGTTATATTTTGACGATTTTAAAAGGCAAACGTGAAAAAGGGACATTGACTTTCGTGATTCACGCGTCCTAGTATTCTAAGGAGTATGTACGAAAAGAGCGAAATCTTTCTTTGCAAGTTAACGTCATTTCAGAACATAAGTTACAAAATAAAATTTACCAGTATAACCAAATAATAATTTGAGTATTTGTCGATGCGTAGATATCCTGTAGATATTGTTATTGTAACTAGTTGATCAGTTTAGTCATCGACTTGAATTTTCTTAAGGGAGCTAATTTCGCGAGACGGCCGATATGTAGATCCACCAGAGAGCAATTCAGAAGACACAGTTTGCAGATGCAATCATCTGACTCATTTTTCTCTCTTAGCTGACTTCAGTTGTGGCCAGAGGTATTTTTTACTCTTGTTGTATTTTGCATTTCGATCATAAGTGTGTTGATTCAATAAATTTATTGTTCAATCTAACTTTGCGACAGCTCTCCTCCAAGGACGTAACTATCCTGGAGATCATCACATATGTGGGATTATGCCTTTCCATCATCGGAATTCTTTCAACAATAACTTTGTATTTTTTCCTCACGTGAGTGCTATTTCTAATCAATCAGCGGTGTATTTTCTAGAACAGACAATGTTAAATAAAACCGGTGTTCAACAAATTGTGAGCAACACTTACTACAGTCGACTGTCAACCATCATACACTTTCAGTCACTTTAAAAACATTCGAAGTAAATATAACAATAATTTATGGACAATATTATTTGCAATTTCCATACACTCAATATGTTGCAAAATTTATGGGTCATTATTGATATCACGTTTGGTTTTCAGGGCTTGTTTGTTTGTTTGTTTGTTGCTCTAATGGTTACTTGATTTGTTTGACCTTGCTCTTCGTTTGTGCTTCTAAAGATTTCTCGTACTTTTATATAAGTATATCAACATCAATACCTACTTCATTTTCACCAAACATATTGGAAAACCTGTCTCAAATACGACTAAGTCTCTTTGTATCCCTTGGAGCTGAACAAATAATCTTTCTCGCTGGAATAAACGCCACAGAAAAAAACGGTGGGTGGCTCTTTACCATTCGTGGAGTTCGTTTAAAGAAAACCTCCTTGAATGAAATGTAAAAAAAAGTATTTCCCCTTACTTTTGAAGGCTGTTTGTGTCACAGTGGTAGCTCTAATGCATTACCTCCTAATGGCCGCTTTCTGTTGGATGCTTGTCGAGGGAATCCATCCCTACCTGTTTGTTGTGAAAGTTTCCAACATCAAGACCAAGATGCACATGTATCACGTCATTTCATGGGGTATTTTGATTTTTCAGTTGAATTTATCATATACTGTTAGGGATTATTTTTTTACCTAACTGCATCTTGTATCTCTAAATTTTCATAAAAGGTTTCCCAGTCATTATGATTGCCATTTCACTGAGCATCGCTGCTGAAAAATATGGGATACAGAGCTTTACCAGCTATAATCATTCTTGTTAACTTCGTTTGTTCACTTTTTGAAGTTTGTTTCGCTTTTCTTTGATTACATATCCTACCCTTCCTTATTACTTTCATTATGCTCCTTCTCATAATCTTTATCTTCTAAGGCCAGTGTGTGACCTACAGTTTCTTTCACTGAACGAATGTTACTTTTGGAGGCAAAGCTGATCGGGTATATTGTGAGACCTAATTTTTCTCTTTTTATTTTTGTTTTCCCCTTTTTTCCCTTTAGCTGTTGGATGTGGTCGACGTTAACTAACAATTTGATCTGGATATTTGTCGCATTTGTGATTATGATTGTAAGTTTCGCATTGGGATTAATTTTTTGACAGCTTCTGCCGGAGATCTTAACGAAATCGCACACCCCCAGCCTTAAAACAGACTGAGAATGAGAGTTAATTTTTTGTCGAGTGCCAGTTATTTATATTTGCTTAGAGGAGTCTAGTCTATGATAGGCCAGCTTTCCAGAGTCATCAGCCTTTAACATTGTCTGAGCTCTTAACTAGATGCAAAAACCTTTTTCTGATAGAAAATAAGCAAATCTTGCTCATCGCATGTGAAATTAACACGCAGAATAGATGCTAGTAAACTTCTTTCTATGCATTTGATATACTTATTTGCCTTTAAATAGCATAACTTAACATGGAGTCATTAATATGAATAAAACCACGTCGTCTAATTACGGCAATGCAACTTATTGGCTCAAACCAAAAGCGAAGGTTTTTTATTCTTTTTTTTTAATTATGTCGGTTCATTTGCGTTTTTATTTATCATTATAACGTATACCAAAATAAAAGAGTGTTTGGTGAATAAAATCTAGGCATATAGGTCATTCCCACAGATTAAGGGTGTACGCCGCAATGATCCACCCATTTACCATGGCCGTTGATGGTCGGCTGAAACATTTTTGTTTTTCGTTAGTAGCTGACAGCTTTGTTTACGCGGGAATATGTAAACACGATTGAAAAGATTTAGATTCGCGCGTATTTCTCAGAAATGGTTCAATCAAAGGAGAGGGTTGCCTAGAAGACTCTCCAAAATCCATGCGAGCGGCGTGATGGGTTTTCGTTCGCCTTTGCACTTGGCGAATATTGAAATAACGTGAGCCGGTTGAAACAGCTTGCTCTATCATAAAACAGATAGAAGGTGGTCAAATTGGAGCAGAAACTTTAATTTTAGGTTTTAAAGCTTGAATCGCATGCCTCAGAATAACGCAAATAAAACGAGTTACCTGTCTGCAATAGCTATGTCCATTGCATGCAGGTCATCATCAAGAGGTGAAAAAATATATATTCTCGGTGTTATATACCTTCAAGAACTAATGTTCGTTTTTAGGACTACCGCATATGCGTGGCTGCTGTCATCTCCTTCAATTCCAATCATCAGCTAACATCTTCTCTTTCTTCTGACAGTTTTGGGCATTCAAATTGGCTACCGTCGGAATGCAACTGACTTCTTCCTCAAGGAGGAAGAATTGCAAGTCAGCATTAATATATCCTCGGATGATTTTGCTGAAAAAGGTTTGCATTAACCACGCTTTCAACTCTAAATCATAGAATGACATTTTTTCACTTTAATAGTTGCTCTATTATTTAGAAATCAGAAAGTTTTACGTATCAGTGTACTATTTTTCAATCATTAAACATTCCAAAACAGCTGAGAAGGTACGTGCACCCCGAATGGTCAAAAACCTTTCGTTTATTGCACCGGTTTACCCATGGAAAATTGAGATTTATATTATAGAAGCAAAGTACCGCACATTCTATCGTTAACCCGACGTGATGACCTTAGTAGGAAGCTGGGAGAATAGTCGGAAAGTTTGCCAATCACTCACGCCCAGCTAATGATCTATAACCTTTTTGAGTGTTCTGCCAGAATCCTAAGTAGATTATTTCGCCGTTTAACCAGTAGAAGGTAGGGGTAATTGCTTGAATCAATGATAATTAGCACGCACAACATTTCTATATTTTCACTGATGTCATAGAAAAGTAAGAAATGACAAAAGCATTTTAGTTGATCTATGCCAGTGGAGTCTCAGGTTCAAATAGCTTATGCAGAATGCTAAAGGAGCAAAGATGTGGTGTTAGCCAGTTGGGTGATCAAATGTCGAAGTACGTGGGTCAAACAAATAATTCTGCTCGAAAATATTTTGGTCTTCGAAAACACTTCAGTCCATACTGTATTATAACTTAAACAGTTCTTTGGTGAAAAAAGCGGAGGGAACTTGATCGATCACCATTTCGAATATGTTTATACTGAGACTAACCCTATCGTTTGGCGTTACAAGGACTTTTTTTTCATATTCTGATTAACAATATTGTTTTCTTTATAGGGTCAGTGATTGTAGGATGTGTGTACAAAGATCTTCATGAATTACTACTGAGAAATCAATCTACTGGAGAAGAACTTGACACTTCTAGGTGACGTTAAACGATAAAATATTTAAGAATTGTGCTTAGCGTACATGTATTGAATTATATGGCATGCCATATCAAATTTAACCAATCGAGATAGGGAGAACCCTAATAAGCAGTGTAATAGGAACCCTAATAATGAATAAAGAAGGCGATGACCAAGTCCATTTTTTAAGCTCATTTGGAGAAATTACCTGACGGTTAAGTTTTCTTTATCACACAGTAAACTCTAAAAATCATAAGAGAAGTTAATTTTCATTATCACCATTTTATATCAAAGATAAAAATGACATAAAGTATGCTACATGCAGTTATATGTAAATGCACTGTAATGGTTTGCAAAAGTTGATAGCATAGAACAATATTTCTTCTACAGGTATGTTAACACCAGAATAATGACGGCAGCGATGAATCCTAAACCTGAAAAACTACGACGAGATGTAATCTTGAAGTTCAAAAACCTACAGGTAACAGCAAGAACGCTGAAAGATGAGCTCGTTCCCTTTGTGTTATGCTGGATCAATTTAATAGAAATACATGTAAAATATATTTTCAGGTCGTTGAGGAAGAAAAGCATTGCATGTTTTGGAGTGGTTTCAAAAATAGGTAAATACAAAGATATTATAAACTATGCTTTGGGACTCCGTCTTTTTCGCTTAGTCCAAAACTGAGTATAAAAATTCGAGATATCAGTTAAACCCTCATTTGCGAGGAGGATAGTCCTGATTTTTCATATTAGAATCACCGTCATGAAATGTTATGAAATACCACAACAAAGGCAGTCAACACTGATAAGTGTTTTAAGCCCCGACGTTTTGGAATTTATATGTTATTCACCGAATAACATATAACCAATCAGATTGCTGGGTTTGTTACCGTACCCTCTGAGAAGAAAAATCGTTATTGTTATTTCTTATATTGTAATATTCCTTTGTTTTTAGTCCGGATGGGTTTTCAGAAGAGGGTTGTCATGTGGATCATTCGAAGAGCAACTCAGAAGAAACAATTTGCAGCTGCAATCATTTGACTCATTTCGCTGTCTTAGTTGACTTCAGCGGCAGCACAAAGGTAGTTTTATTATTATTACTACTATTATTATCATTATTATTATTATTATTATCATTGTTTTTACCTTGCATTCAAACTAGAAATGGGTCCGTGTGGTCAATCAAAGTATTACCTCCTTTTTCTTTTGTTTTTGACGCAGCTTTCCGAGAACGACGTAGCTGTTCTGGAGATCATCACATACGTAGGGTTAAGCCTATCCATCATCGGAATACTTTCGACAATAACCTTATATTCTTTCCTCACGTAAGTACTGTAATCAAACGATCAGCGGAGAACATCCTGAAATACCGTGGAAGATGTATTGAATAAATCAGGCCAGTGCAATGTCCGTAACACCCCCTCCCCCCCGCCCAAAAAAGAAAATTAATAATAATAATAACGAAAATGTCTTGGTGCTAATTAGAAACTAAATCCGTACCCCATGTTTTGGACATCACTCGTGACTGTCCAAGTTCATCTGCCTATCTACTGTCTCTCGCTTTCACTCATGCTTTTTGCTTTTGTTTTTTTGTTTTGTTTTGTTTTGTTTTGTGCGTGTGCGTTGTTGTTGTTGTTGTTGTTAACAGAGATCTTCGTCAACCTCTGTCCCAAATACGCGTAAGTCTTGCTGTGGCTTTAGGAGCTGGACAAATATGTTTTTTCGCTGGTATAAATGCCACAGAGATCAAGGTAGGTGGTTTTTCCCATTATTTATATGAAATTAAAGATATTATGATCGAACAAAGCATTGAAATGACATAGATTCTGCTGTTTTCTTTACGTATCTGTGCAGGCTGTGTGTGTCATAGTAGCAGCTATTATGCAGTATTTTCTGATGGCCGCTTTCTGTTGGATGCTGGTCGAGGGAATTTATCTCTACCTGTTTGTTGTAAAAGTTTATAACATCAACGACAAGATGCGCATATATCACGTCATGTCATGGGGTATTTTGCTTATACAGCTGAACTTACAATATACTGTGAGTTTTATTTTTGGCTAATTTAATTTTAATTTTTGAGTCGCCTTGATTGGTTTGTCATTTCCTGATAGGTTTTCCCTTAGTTATGGTGGCCATTTCACTGTCTATCGCTGCTGGAAAAGAAGGGATACAGGGTTATACCAGCGACAAATTGTAAGAGGCGTATGTTTTTTTTTTTTTTTTTTCTCCTCTATTTTTTCTCCCCCTAAAATGTTAATTTTTTTCGGTGAAGTTTTGATGTTTCTTTTAATTTGCTTTGACATTTTCATTAACTTTATCTTAAAGTCCTTCTCGTAACATTTATCCTTTCGGGAAAGCTTTCTCACATCGGTTTCTTTCTTTATGCAAGGTTTCTGTAATTTAATCCTTGTGTTTCCTTATTCCCTTTTTTTTCTCCAAAATCTTCCCTTCTGATCTGTACCTTATCATGTTATCATCATATTATTGAACATCTTAAAATGCATTTTTTAACATAATATAAACAACGGTGTTATGCAAGAATTTCAGTCCTGAGAAAAGCCTTAACAACAAATGTGAACAAGTATCATTATTTTTTCACGTCACTCGCCTTTTGCACCACTCGGCCAGGTTGATGAATGAACTGCGAAGCCTTCACCATTCTCAATCAATCAATAATTATTTTGTTTATATAATAAAAAATAATACCTGGTTACTTTCAGATATGAAATTTCTCTTCTCGTGTTCAACTCGACACCTCACTCGTGAGATATCGAGTTAAACACTCGAAGAGAAATTTCATATCTTCGGGCGCCCATGTATTTTTCGCTACGTAATTTCTTACGAATTCCTTTCACTACAGATCTTATGATGACAATTTTTGTTTTTGTCTTTGTTATCTTTCCCCTTTTAAGTTGTTGGATATCCTCAGCGAACAATTTGATATGGATATTTGTCACATTTGTGATTACAATTGAAGTGGTAAGTTTCTGATTCGGTTTATTCATATCGGTGATTCTGATATAAGACTTGAAATGTGTAATAGCCATACCTCAATACAAACTTTTAATTTATCTCCTCCTCTTTCAGATCAACATTTTGATACTCACACGAGTCATAAGGGAGATGGCCAGAATGCAGCAAACAGGAGACAAGCAAAGTCAGCAATTACGGTGAGAAAGAGCTCTAAAGAGCGTTAAAAAAAAAAAAAAAAAAAGGAGTACGTCTTACTTCCTCAGTAGCTTGTTGATATTAATTAGTTAAGAGAAAGTATAGGTTCCAAAAATTTTTGTGAGGTTCAGTAAGCAATCAATTAACCAGCAAATTTTCGTCCTATAGAGTTGGCATTAGAGCATGTGTTGTGATGATCCCCCTGTTGGGTGTCACGTGGTTATTTGGTCTTCTGTCGCCATTACACAAAGCTTTTTCCTACATTTTTACCATCCTCAACTCTACTCAAGTGAGTATCAAATATTATGATTTTATAGTTTCATACGTGAAATCATCCATATTGAGTGTCTAGATTACTTTATAACTATAAATTTTATGATGGTGATAGAATATTTGTTAATGTAAAACAGACAAAAGAGAATAAAAATTAAAAGATAAGAAAAAAGGATGTCACTGTTTATGTGATTTTTTGCTAGTCAAGACATAATTTGATTCTTTTTGTTGTTATTTGGGGCTTTTAGAGAAAAAAAAAAGCTCAATATATTTACCCCAGGTCGCAATCACAAAACGAAATTGGTCTGAAAAACATTTTTTTTTTCTGTCTAAGGGTTTCCTGATTTTCGTTCTTCACTGTGTGCGAAACAGCCAGGTAAGTTTTAAAACTTGAGGTTTTAAAACTTGAATGTACCTTGAATGTGGTTCTTTTTCTTACTTTCTATGTCTATCGGTGCCTTTATTTGTTTACTTTGCTTGTCTATCTGCAGATTAGAGAGCGATTCAAAAGGAAGGTGAACACGGTTTTCCCATCTACAAACAATGGAAACTCCACAAAGAAGAGCTCACAGGTTAATCCAAGTGGTGTCGGTGATACATGGGTAGCTGAATTGCAGTCTTTCGATGAATTTGAGCTGGAAAAACACTCGGCTTGAAGAGCTAGATTCAACACGGACCAAGCATGAAACTCCATTGTTTAATTGTTTAATTTGATTTTTAAGCTTAGTTGGTCAATCGCAGTTGCTCATTTTTCGATCTTTCAGGAAGATTTCGGCCGTTCCAATCGAGGCATTAGCTTCGTGAATAAGTCATACTTAAGGTGTCACTTACTGCGATAATAGGGCAACTTGCCAAAGGTAGTAGCGTTTAATGTAAGCTAGATGATGCAAGAGTACGTAATTTTTAGACTATCGTATCTTCTTAGGGAAAGTTTGCCTTAGCTGCAAACTAAATATCTTTTAAGTAACTATCTTATAGGCTGGCTGTCGATCACTGTTAGAATACAAAACTGTCTGTTCTAGCTTTCTTTTTCTTTGAATTAAGAGTAAGTAATTTTTTGAGTATCGTACGTAATTAGGGAAATTTTGCCTTAGCTGCAAACTAAATTGCTTTTAAGTATCTAACTTATAGGCTGGCTGTCTATCGCTGTTAGAATTCAACAAAGTCTCTTTCAAATGATGGTTTCTTCGTTCTATCAATGATTGCCCCCTATTTTTTCCTATTATTTAATTGAAATGTTGCGGTCATGCAGTCAAGACTGACGTGTCTTTAAACATTCCTATGCTTTACTATGATACACATTTCTATGAATTTTAGCGCGCAATTTTATACTAATATTTCACGATAGCGTCACCCTTTTTATATTATTTGAGCAGTTAAATTACCAGTAAAATCGCAAATGCTATTTGCTTTTGTAATAGTAGCGGTTAAAGCTGACTTTTAAACTTTTTAAACTGATTAAACGCAGCGGATTTAATGGATTAAAATTTGCGAAGTACTGGGAAAAAATGGAACCAGCGTCTTCGGGAAAATGCACCTGAGCAAGAAATGCCCTGAGTTTACGTGGAGGAACGCTGTAAACGTGAAAAAACAAAAAGGTCTTTCATCAGACTTGTTTTCCGAAAAAAAAAAAAAAAAAAAAAAAAACAGAGAGCAGTTTTCATGGGTAAATTGAAGCGATAAGAGAGGTTGAAATATCTATTTCAACCTCCACCCCCCCCCCCCTCTCCCCCCCCTTCTGTCCCGCCCGGCCCTTCATAGTGTTTAGATGAGGATATGTAAACACTGCAAAAATAATTTATCACCTTAGTGTGATACGAATTGCAGACAGGTGCAATTTACAGTACTGTGCAAAATGTAAATGAAGACTTTCGTATATAGCGCAGGAGGGGGTGGGGTGGGGGAAGCAGACATCCTATATGTCTATGTCTCATTTCTCCTCTCGTAACGTTAGAAAAAGGATAGATGAGATTTCAGAGCTATCTCGCGATTATCTTAAGGACATCTCCATCTAGAGAGATATAGGTACAACAATATATCGAGGAACCTACGACATTCGTCGTTCTTTGGCGGGATACACATTTTTGATATCTCGTTAATTTGTAAATAAATCACCTCAGTCCGATGATTGTCGCTGCTTAGAGACTGTCCAAAAAGGGAATATTTGGCACAAAGGTAAAGCTTTGAGGGAAGATGTGAGCAATACCCCTCATAATTTTTCATATTCCGGGTCGATAGCATATTGTGTTGACTTTTCTTACAGTTCTGACCAGCGTTTAAAATCAGCTTTTAAAGGTTACTATCACTGGATATTACAAAATATTGAAAATTTTTTTATTTTTCTCGTTGTAAAAAGGTGAAACTCAAAGAGTTGACTCTTTTTCACTAGCTTATTTCCTTAATAATCTAAGCTTGGGACAATTATCGAGGCAGACGGGGATAATTTCTGGATAACGTGAATAAACTAACTAAGGAAACCGCGCGAAAATGAATAGGTGGGTTTAAAATCTAAATGTCCCTGAGATAGTATTGATTACTCGCCCATTTTGTATGTCTTGGTGGTATTTCCCAATTGGTCTGCTCGGCATACCTCGGAATTCCAGACTGATGTATCCAAAAGAAAAATACAATACAAACAGCATACCTAACTACTTATGGAGAAGAACGTTGTAAAAAGGTAAAGTGTGGCAGCACAGTCATTTGAGCTTTGAGAATCAATTGAAATTAGAAACTTACTTGACATAAAACCATATTTGTTCGGTTTTAGCTTGTATTATACTACTGCTCTAAAATCACCGAGCTGGTTTCCTAAATAGCTAAATAAACAAAGACTCGCAATGGCGAATAGTCGAACGCAAGAGTAAACATTTGCAATCGATACCAAAAATTTACCCTCTTGAGCTTGACTCTATACAACTAGTTAACATTTTAGTCCACTCTTTTCCTAAAAAAGAATGATGAGGAACGTAGAGAAGCAATTTCTTACGATATAAATCGATAATTTTGCTATCCTTGTTTTAAGCAGGTGCAAAGTCTAAGTTCTTTAGATTGAATTTGAACGGAGACAAGACGTCAAAAATTTACATGACATTCAACTTCCTTCCTAATAAATTAGCAACACAACGCTGATTTTGTTCAAAACAACACGCGCTGAAAGCTTGTTCTTTTACCATGAGACTAATCTGGAAAAAAGATTTTCCAAACGGGAATTGCAACCAACCTGTTACTGCCAGACGGACCTTTATACTGACATTCTGCTCATAAAGATTTGGGGAAAAAAGATCAGAATCTGTTGAGTGTAAAGCTGAGAGAAACGCAACCCAAACAGAAAAGAGAAATGTTGGCGAAAGCTTGTCAGATTTGGGGAATCGTCTTACTTTCAGTAACTTTGTTGAGTGAGTACCAAAGCTCTTTCTAGAACATAAAATTTTGTTCAGTTTATTAGTATCACAAGCATACTCCAAAAAGAGTAACTTCTTCAGAGTTCTCGAACGCGACTCGACCTTGTTGCTCTCCTAAAGGCCTTGGCAGGAAAATACGGCAGCAGATAGCGATAGACTCTTTGAAATTTTATTCTTCCTGTAAAACGAGGGCGTACTTTTAGAAGCGGGTATATCATGATTACTGAACTATGGATAACGCTTGTTAGGTATAAGCCCAATCGAACTTAAGCAGTTTTGAGGTGAAACTCTTACACGGCAATGTAAATAAAGAAGGTTTATTTTCAGCCCGGTAAATAAGTTTAAAGATAACGATTCTCTGAAATGACTAAGATAACGCATGCATAAGAGAAAACGTATCTAAACTACCTTTCAAAAACTCCACGATTTAAGACTCCTTGAAAATCAAAAAGAAAAATGGAATATTAATCTCCTTCCTTTCTTTGCCGTCTAAATTTTTTACCCTTTATCGCATTGTTGATTCATCAAGTTGACATAGTTAAACAGAGAAAGCTTTCATCGTAATTCTTCTCGCGATAAGTTTCTAAATTGGGCAGGAAAATCCATCGTAACTATACTTCTCATTTTTACTCCCAACCCTCCCCCCCTTAAAAAAGAAAAAAAAGGAATAAAAAATGTATTTTTCTCATAGAATTATCTCGACAGACTTTAAAAAACGTGGAGACATTTTTCCGCTACCTGTCTCAACGTAAGGGTTAAAGTTTATACAGGAATAACTGCTTCTGCACGTGCAATATCTAATTTCCCGAAATAATAATAATAATAATAATAATAATAGTAATGATAATAAGATAAATTAAATAGTAAAAATGAGAATTACAGATGAATTCAATACTTTAACTGCGTCAGATATATTGTATTTTTCTGCATCTCTCTTAAATCTTTTTTATTCAGAGAGTAAAGTATTATATGTCATGCTTTTTCTTTTAAAGAGCAAATTTGCATTTCGATTTTTTTGTGACATCGGATAACACTGACATGGTGGCATTCTTGCAGCAAAAGAAAAAAAAATTAGAAAACAAAAAAAATGCCCGCTCTAGGGTAATTTGCTGCCTAAAAAATATTTTCCACTGGTAATTAGTGCGAGCGAACGGCATGAAGATTGTTGAGTGTTGCAAGATCTAAAATTTGGAAAATCAGCTAGTTTAACTAGTGGCACAATAAAGTGTATTCAGATTACAATTTACGTCCAAAATAAACAATATTTGAATTGAAACAGTATCCTACTCCTAGAGATTTTCTTTGGTTTAGTAAAGTTATGGCTGTCCCGGCAAGATCAAATTTGAAGCGTACGTGACGACGCAATTCGGTGCTTTAATTTAATTTATTGATAATCTTTGCAGTACCGTTGAACAGTTATGGTTGTCTCTCTCTTGTCCCAAAAAAACCTTTAAAAGGAACGCAATTCTGATCAGTAAGGTTTGCTTAGTAAAGATATGATTAATCTATCATTTGATTCGGAAAAATTATTGTATCAGTCGTCTAGTGTTCATCGCTTATGTTATCTCTTTTTACAAATTTTGTTTTGCCAGGATTTGTCAGACTCAACCAAGATATCTGCCCTGCCGAGGAAAACCCATGTATACGGATATGTGTCAAAGCGAACGATAAATGTGACCAGCAATGCAACAGTGGCAGCTATAACTGTTCTCTTCAGTGTAGCGGAGAGGTTTGCGCACAAGGTTGTGACGCTAAAAGATGTAACTTTAAATGCAGCAGTGAAGATTGTGATCAGAGGTGTAATGGGGGAGTAGAAGAATGCATCATGCATTGTAACGGTAGTAAATTTAAACAGAAGTGCGATGCTGGCGTATGTCACATGACAGGAAGTGCATTTATCCGTGATATACACGAGCAGACATGCAACGGGGGAGTAAAACGATGCGATGCGCAGTGCAACGTGAGTGCCGGTACATGTAAGCAACATTGTGACGCTGAACTATGCAAACTAGAGTGCAGCGGGAAAGATTGTGATCAGAAGTGCAATGGGGGAACTAAACAATGCATTATGCATTGCAGCGCGAGTAAATGTAAACAAACGTGCGCCGCTCACACTTGTAGCACGACAAAAAGTGGGTTAGTCAGTTCTCTGACTGAGCAGAAGTGCAACTCTGGGAAAAGTCCTTGTTGTCAGCACATCATGATACAAAACAGTATTGGAGTTTTAAATAGAATCTGTGTCAGAAAGAAGCGATGCACTTGTTCCAAATATTCTTTAAATACCAATTACATCACTTTACGTACGTCAAATGTGTTTGAAGTCGTCAAAACTCAACCATCGACTACACAAGGTGACGTAAATTTCCAAGCTGTAAATGTAGTACCATTGAAAGATGAACAGATCACGAATTAGTGTTTGAGAATCCCTGTATGGAAAGAGGATATCTTAATTGTCCATTTCCAAATTGTTTCCATTCTTTTAGAGCTTTCCAGTGTTAGTTTAAATTTCATTTGATAATGATATTTTACTTTAACACGCAGCTCACGCATCATACGGGTCACCTTCGCCACTGTCATTTCTCTCACCGTCACCGTTATTATCATCGTCATCATCATTATATTCCCCTACCTCTTCCTCCTTATCATCATCCATCTTATCATCGTCATCATCATCATCATCGCCGTCTTCGCTATTATCACCACCACCAAGATCATCGTCGTCATCGTCACGTTTACGGTCGCCATCATCATCATCATTATCACCATCAACATCTCACTCATATCCATCACTATTACCACCATCATCGTTGTCGCCGTTGTCATCGTCATCTCCAAATTTGACATCTCCGTTGGTACCGCTTGTAACATTTGAGAGGCTGGTATGTATTGCAATTTCTCTTAATACCTACATTCATTATTTCCCTAAAGTAAAGCGTTCATTAACGTTGTTGTCTTTCTTTCCCCAGGCAAATGAATATGTTTCTAAACTCGGTGCTATAGAACTCCACAGAGAAAGTTCCCTAAGGGTATAACTTGGCTTACATTTTATTTATCAATTATTTCACTAAATTTCTTTATATAGCTTGCGCATTATCTTGAAAGTGACTGTCTTTAGATAAATGCAAAAGCGGTCAAAACCTCGACTTAAACTCGAGAGCAGAGCTTTTTAAGAGCACTATGACAATCTGGTGCAGGCACATAGTTTTCTTTGAAATATAAGCAGATCTGTAACTTATGGTGCCAAAAAGGTTTTTAAATTTCTTTGCTGTTGTTATATGTAGCTGTTTTTTTCCTTTTTTTCCGGTTTTGGTCATTTTACGGAATATATATGAAATCTTAGCTAAAATTTTCACTATTGTTCATACGAGGAAGGCTACTTCACATTGGAGGCCTGTTTACCTTCGCCGACTCTCCTAGCGCGGAAATTTAAATTTTACTTGTTTACTTACTAAGTTGACATCAATATCAGACTTTAAATTATTTGAAACTGTGACAGGAATGAAGAGTATTTCATGCCGTTACAGGTGGCAATGCGTTTGTTTAACAACTTCACCAATCAGTATCAGAACATAACAAAAACTTTCGAGGGCCAACTTAGTGAAGAAGAAGTTAAGAAAGGAACAGAAGCCATCTTTAAGGTAGCAGTCGCATTCGAGAAATTGGTTCTCAACTACAGCAGGTACCACCTGAATGAAACGAAACTATTAAAGAAGATGACTGACGGTAGAATGGGTGAGTTAGAATGTCTTCTTTTCATATTTGTGACATTTTGTGGATTAGATAAATACTGACTAACCAAAAGACCACCCGGCTGACTAAAATAATGAGTAACGGGGGTAAGTTTCTAAAGAAACTGTGGTGCTGTGTCGTTGGGAGAGTATAACAAGGTTAATTGAGTATTATCAACTGAATTGGTAATGTAAACTGGCCTCCGTAAAGAATTGACGTTTAGAGCGTTAGCCCTTCGTCATAGCGACTGACGAAGGGCTAACTAAAAAAATGGCTAACCTGCAGCCTGAATCAAAGAAATAAGCTATGCACGTTAGTTCTCATAGGGCGCTCGGAAATAATTTCAAGCGCTTCAAATTCATCTCGTGTCTTTTGTACTGATATAAATAGATGTGAGTAGAAATTTGTAAATCCTTCTTTTGCTATTTGGAGATGAAAAACTTTACGACATTTTTATGACATCTTAAGAATATTGCATTTCACCTTCGTCAAACAAAACCGAAGTGCTTTAAGACAATAGTGTGGCGTTACCACTAGCACCTTTGTTTGGAAGCCTGGCGCATCAACTCCGCCCACGCTCCTTTAAACCGTGATGAAGGCGGCTTAATTCCTGACGCCTATTTATACCTAGTCAGAAAAAAAGGGCAGCTAATCAGTGAGCGTAAAAGAGGACCTCTTGTTGCAGCGTTTAGATCATCCCCGAGGAAGGTATTAGGCAGGAGTGTCGAAACCTTGGGTCTATAAATTGTAATTGTAATTGGTTACATTAATAAAATGTTTAAACCAGGGTAGCATGAAACCATGTCTGAGCGTGGCACATTTTTTAGACTACTTATGTAAATACAAATATGCTATAAAATTGTTAAACTCCAGTTAGTTTGTTACGGTATAATTCATTCAACAGTAGTAATACTACACTCCTACAAACCCAACTACTTTATTAACTAACGTGTAATAATTATTACTAAGAAGCGACTCTAGCTTACCTTGGCCTTTTACAGATTATAACTTTGATGCCAATGACAAAAAAATTAATGTTTCCTCCAAACCCTCCTGAAATGTGCAATCTTTAAACTAAATCATAATAGCTCTCTCTCTCTCTCTCTCTCTCTCTCTCTCTCTCTCTCTCTCTCTCTCTCTCTCTCTCTCTCTCTCTCTCTCTCTCTCTCTCTCTCTCTCTCTCTCTCTCTCTCTCTCTCTCTCTCTCTCTCTCTCTCTCTCTCTCTCTCTCTCTCTCTCTCTCTCTCTCTCTCTCTCTCTCTCTCAGTATAGTTTTCCAAACAGATAATCACTACCGGAAACAACAGCTACTTCTCTTAGATGACTAGATATAAATCTACAACGTATTGTAGAACTTTTCAGAGGCTTACAGTTCAACTATTCTGGTAGAATTAAATCATGATTACATATAACCTAATAGAAAGTTCTGGAATGTTCCATGCTAAGTCATCAGAAGGCTGGAGCATCCATGTCTCAATAACAAGCCATTCTAGAAATCTCTAGAATCTACTTTTTTACAGTCATTGTTTATTACATTTCCGTCCCATCTTTCCTTCTTTCGACAGTTTTAAGTATGAAGATTGGCTACCAGAATGATCCGAGTAACTTCCTTCTGAAGGAAGAAGAATGGCAAACCAGCATCAACATTTCCTCTGCAAACTTTGCCAAGAATGGTAGACACCATTTAATCTCAAAATTGTGCAATGCCATTTTATTACCGATTAATGCTTCATTTCTGTAGTGCTTCTGCGAAGTCTTCCATATTCTGACTTGAAAGTGCGTTTGGTTAAATATCTGAAAAAAGGCTAATAAACACGTAAAATGTGTCGCTATATTTATGTTTTAGGTCTCAAGAAGTAAAAAAATTAACCAAAAAAAGGCAGCTTGATTGAAATATTCTAGTAAAGTCTGGGATAAGAATCTGAGGAAGAATAATAAATGTTGTAATGACGCAGTATCCAATATATAGTAATAGTTGGCTAGGTAAAATACTTGTGTTGGGAGGTCAAATAAATAGCTTTGATCTTAAGATTCTATGTATGTTTCGGTGTTCGAAAAGCATATTAAATTGTATTTTTGAATAGTCCCATTTATTTTATAGCTGGCAGCTGTTGTGGGATATATATGAAGCGAATCATGTGTTCTGGTTTTTCTTTTCTTTTCTTTTGGAACAATGTTGTGGAAAAATAAGATTACCTTTGAGGCTAAGGCTTTGTTTTGAATAAGTATGGGGTTACACCAAAGCCTCTCCACGGTCTGTATGTCTTTTTTGTTTATTTTTTTGCTCAGGGTCCGTGGTTGTAGGATGTTTGTACAAAGATCTCCATGAATTGCTGCTGACTAAGCAGTCCATTGGGAATGAAACTCACAATTCAAGGTGACCTTAATACGTAATATATCAGAGAATTGGTTCATGCTTAATGTGCGTGCATTGAGTTGCATGCTATTTGTCAACCTCTAAATCGCATATGGGGCTAAAACATTCTTTTTTTACCGTTAAATAGTGGAGATAAAAATTATACATAACCTTTTTTCTCCATAAAAAAATACGATTGAATACTTTGGTTTTCAAGGCAGATAGCATACCGGCCATGGTGATTTGAAGAATATAATTTTTCTTAACAGGTACGTCAACACCAGAATAATGACCGCGGCTATGGATCCTAAACCGGAAATTTTACAAGATCTCATCTTGAAGTTCAGAAACCTAAAGGTATTTAATTCCTAGAGGACTGACCTTCTTGTTGTGTTGAGTCAGTTCAAACGAAATTAAATTTATTTCTAGGCCGTGGAGGAAAAAAAGCATTGCATGTTTTGGAGTGGCTTCAGCAAGAGGTAAAAACATATAATATCACATTAACTAATTTGTTTTGAAATAAATTATTTAACGTTTAAAATAAAGTTATCATCATCAATTTATTATCAGTTTGTCTGTCGCTTCCAGAGAACTTTCCATGTGAGATTAATGTTTATTATTCTCTTCCTGTAAATGATGGGATGAGAGGGCATCTTGAGAGTCAAAAGATATTTCATAAATTAAACTAGACCTGCCTCCAGAATGAACCTTTCGACACTCTGCTTGTTTCAAACCAAATTGCTTATCTCACATTCCTTTTTTTTTTCTTTTTTTTTTCATTTGTCACATTCATTTACTTTTTCAGTCCAGACGGGTACTCAGAGGATGGTTGTCATGTAGATACAGCGAAGAGTAACTCAGAAGAAACAGTTTGTAGATGCAATCATTTGACTTACTTTGCTGTCTTAGTTGATTTTGACAGTGGTCGTACAAAGGTATTTTTTTTTTTAATCATCTATATATTTTTAACGTACTTCCACCGTTGGGTCCACTGATCAATTTTTTTGCTTCCAATTTCTGATACAGCTCTCCAAGAAGGACGGAACGATCCTGGAGACTATCACGTACGTAGGGTTAAGTCTTTCCATCATCGGGATGCTTTTGACAATCGTCTTTTATTCTTTCTTCACGTAAGTACTGTTGCCAAACAATCACTTATGACTTTGAACCTGATTTCATAAAGTTGGCTAGGGTGTGCAAAACTAGATTTCAAAAATCACTTTTGGCAATTGCCATTTGAAAGACCATGGTGCTTATTGGATTAGGCAATCAATGACCGAAATCCGTGCAGTATGGGACGAGTACCACTCGCTATCATACACCATCTGGTTAATCTGCTCTCGAACCACCTTAAAAAATAAAATGTAAAAAGCAGTAGTGTTCCTTCCAATTTCCTTGCAACTAGATATACTATGCATGCTGAATATTTCTTGTATTTATTCATATATTCAAAGTTCATTCGTTTTCTCCTATAGACTTTCAGTTACCTTCGCCTTTGATAACTATCACTGCTTTATTTTATTTTTGTATATATATGTATATTTACTTCATCAGAGATGTTCGTCAACCTCTATCACAAATACGTTTAAGTCTTTCTGCGTCCCTCGGAGCTGGACAAATAATATTTCTTGCCGGGATAAACGCCACAGAAAACATGGTACGTTGCATATCATGCATGGAAGAAATTGTTATTTAACACTTCAGATTTTTCACAGCCAGTAGCATGTTGTTTCTTTCTCTCTTGTAGGCTGCTTGTATCACAGCAGCAGCTCTTATGCAGTATTTTCTGATGGCCGCTTTCTGTTGGATGCTGGTCGAAGGAATTTATCTCTACCTGTTTGTTGTAAAGGTTTACAACATCAACACTAAGATGCACATGTACCACGTCATATCATGGGGTATTTATAACTATTTATTGCCATATTTGGTATATTATTCCCCGACATACACTTCATTCTTCGTTTTCTCTATTTGTAGGTCTTCCTGTCGTCATGGTAGCCATTTCATTGAGCATTGCTGCTGGAAAAGAAGGAATGAAAAGCTTTACCAATGATAAATAGTAAGAAAAACATTTGATGTTTTCTTGTTTCCACTATATTTCAGTTATGGTGGTGATTTTTCTTTCATTTTTTTTTCCCTTGTCTCAAGTTGCTGGTTGTCTTCAACTAATAAGCCGATCTGGATTTTCGTGACATTCGTGGCGTTTATCGAATCAGTAAGTTTATGACTAATTGATGTCATATGATTATTTTTATTCATATTTTCGAATTGAATATCATGTTTCTCTCTATCGAAGACAATTGTCTGTGTTTTTTTTCCAAATCATAATCATTGTGATTATTTTTTAAAATTTTTATTCAGTTTAACATTTTGATACTTGTGCGAGTCATAAAGGAGATAACTACACTCGTAGAACCATTAGCGGAAGACAACTATGCTCAGCAAATAAGGTATGACTTGAAATTAAATTTAAAAAAAACATTATTTTTGATGAGGCATGGACTTGTTTTAGCAATGTGAGTTTAAATAATTGCGATTTTATTTCTCCAAACTTAAATGACTTTTCTCATGGAGTTTTCCAGTTCTTCCCAAGGAATCATTGAATGTCGAGGGGAAACAAAATCCACTGAATCCTTCGAGGCCCGTCACATTACATTTAGTAGAATTACCTTGTTCTATGATACTCGCTTAACTTTCTTATTAATCTGAATCAGTGGGTGGTCTTATAGTGATAAAATTTGGGGGGAAAAAAAGGAAAAAAAGGAAAAAAACTAACTCTCATGTCGCGTTGCAATTGTTCTCATCCTTTAGACTTGGCGTTAAAGCGGGCGTGGTGATGATTCCCCTGCTGGGCGTTTCGTGGTTGTTTGGTTTCCTGTCACCATTGCACAAAGTTTTCACTTACATTTTTACCATCCTCAACTCTACGCAGGTTAGCTTAAACTCGCGATTCGTGATATTGAAATAATCACGTTAGAAAAAGGAAAATCTCGTTATTGGCATGCTTGTAGACATTTTAGTTGTGGCGAAATCAATTTGGTCTTAGAGGCAAATATACTATAATTGATTACTTTGTATATTCATAACATAAAAGTTCTTGCCACTTTTTATGTCACTTTTACAATTGTCACAGGTTTTAATGCTAACACCACATTCATACTAAAGCCCAAACTTACTTAAACTTTTTTGTCTTTCTATTTGCTTGTTTCTTTTTTGTTCTGTTTTATCATAGAAGCGGCTTAAGGTAATTTTTGTGCGCGTCCAGTTTAGCACGTTGAAAATACAAGTTAGTGATCACCTGGAAACCATAAAAAATACATTTTCAGCTCGCCGTTGCTGATTTCCAATTAGTTTAACCTGGTCCAACTAATGAACTTTTTTTCTGGTTTAAATGGGATAAAAATTCAGCTTAATTCATTCAAGAAACCCAACATGACCCTTAACCCTTCATACGTTACAAAAGAAAAAAATGATTCTCAACCCTTTTTTTTTTGTTTGTTTTAGGGCTTCCTGATTTTCGTGCTGCATTGTGTGCGAAACACCCAGGTGAGATGAACTTTGAAAAACAATTTTTTATCTTTTTTTAAAATTTTTATGAATTTTTTAATTATGTGGAGTTAAAATTTTTCCGCTTTTCCACTTTCAGATTCAAGAGCGATTCAAACGAAAGCTGAACACTGTTTTTCCATCTGTATATACCAAAAACTCCGCAATGAAGGGCTCGCAAATTGATCCAAGTGCTGTCGAAGATATAGGGGCGGCTGAATTGCAGTCTTGCGATGAATTTGAACTGAAATAAAATTTAAATAACTGGACTCAGCGGGCTGAAAATAATTATCGAATGTTTGATACGATTGTCAGGTTTGATGTCAGGTCGTTCTATTCGCTTCGAGTTACGAGCTCATTGTAATGTTCATGATTGTATTTTAAAGATGTTTAAGGCTAGTTTGAATGTGCTGTGCCCTCGTTTCATGCGCTTTTAGGTCTTAGTATTCTGTGAACAGCATTGTGCTTGACTCTCGCAATCGTTTGAGTTTTAGATCATCAGTTATTTATTTGTTTCGTTATTTTGAAATCCTCTGTGCCAAATGTTTGTTATTATTGAACGACGACGCAGTCTCTGACCCTATGATAGACCTCTTGGAGACCTTTCGCGTACTCGCTCGGGCTGCTGCTCAAATGAGAGATAACTAGCAGGCTTAGTTTTCCTTCTTCTGCCGTAGCTTTTTTGGTACTTTTCTCTTGGTTCGATTTAGAAAGTCCGGCGAGGTATGTATAAACTCCGTGATGTGGCCAGCGCGTTCACACGTCACAGGTTGCTTGGAATATCAAGACGAAATATTTTATGAATTCTCCCAACCTCCTTTGCTTTCGATGATGCGATGTTAACAAGAAATAAAGTTTTCAATGGTGAAAGTTTGATGCGTGGAATGGAAAGAACGATCTGGCAATAGACACCAGAGAGTCGATACCGTTTGAAAGAAGACGTTTTTTTCATTGCTTATAAAATCGTTTTATTAAATGGCTGTGGAAGAATAAAAGGCGATAATTAGCATACGTATTGAATCGAAAGATAAATTTAAATACTCCCCGTTGACGTGTCACATAATATTTTAAACCTTAGGCTATGCATTTTACTTGGCACGATAATGACGCTCTTGCACCATGCTGTAGAAATTGATTAAGGTCAGTTTGATCAATGTTTTTTACAAAATTGCTTCAAGTCTTTTTTTTTTTTTTTGCTTTGCTACAGTCTTAAGCGGGTGCAAAAGACCAAAATAACTAATTTTTATGGAAAGACACGATGTCAATATCGTGAATGACAGTAGATTTTCCCACCTTAATCAGCCATAAACAGCTGGTTCTGACTCAAACCAACACAAGCTGCAAACCCCATCCTTTTAACAAGATACTCGTCACTTTAACTACAAATTGTTATTATCCTCTTGTGGGGAGGTATTGGTGTGATTTTTAGCGTATACAAACTTGGGAAGATAGTCTCGCTTCCTTGAGCGCGTGCTAACAGGAATCAGACTAAGTACATCATGATGAAAAATTGTCAAAAATGCTCAACAACTTTAGTGTTAATGACTTTGTCGAGTCAATATAAACGTTATTCATGAAAGATTGATTTTTTTTTCAATCAGAAACACAAGCATTTTTAATGCGCATCTATCAAGTGCTCTAACGAGTAATCACTTTATGAATATGTTTAATACGATCAGTTGCATTTTACAAACACTATTTTAACATAGTGCGGGTGCATGTCCTATCTTATTCCTGAGGAGTTACAATAGTATAAACTCTATTCACCTACGACCATGCATCTATAACATCACGTGTGCAGTTTCACTTCAGCTGCAAGTTCCCGTCGATTTGTTTGCTTCTGTGTTTGATGGAAATATGATTTCGTGCAGACTTACATATGGGATACCCGCAATAGTTCCCGCTGGGAAAATTGTTAATTCCTAAAAGCAACCATCGTTAAACGAGATCCCTGATTAAGTTTTCTTTATTTAAAAACATGATTTATCAATTCATTATTATTTCCACGTTAACAGAACTTCAGGTTAAAAAAGTGATTTTCATTATAGTAAAGTAGTATCGTTTGTTCCACGATGTGGTAACTTATGATGTGAATCGCAACGTTTCAGCTGCATTCTGTTGGTCTTCATCAGGTGATAAGGTCGACTAGTTCGGGCGTTGTCATAAAGCAGGATGCTCCGATGTAATTGATTGGTTTTTCCACAGCTGCAATTAGCTTGTTTTGATCCTCGATGTTATTGAGTTAAGTTTTACATAGTAGACAATATCTCAGAGCCAACATATCAGATCCAGATAATCGCTGGAAATGTTGGAATTTGTTCAAATTTTATTTAATAACGACTATAATAGCGTGTTTTCCTTTTTTTTTTTTCGCAATTCTTGCCCCACTTCTTGTCTATCATAAGAACATCTGTGTAGATATATAGATCATCAAAAGTGGCAAATTACGTCACACCTAACACATCTTGTCCGCAGGAAGAAGAGGGTTGAGCACTTTATCGTTGAAATAAAAGCAACGGAAGGGAGGGAAATTGCACAGCCGATTTGCTTATCGGGATCTTGAATATAAAGCTCGCGCAGGATCATTTAGTCCTGTTAAAGGTTCCCTTTCCTTCCGTGTTGAATTATGTTGCGATCAAAATTTCCTGTATTGGGCAGAATGTAATTTAATATCTGACATTAGCTTAAATTCCAATTTTTTTTGTTGAACCACGCGCTACGTAAATTTTCTAAGGCCGTCATGCGCTTGCCGAGCGCTCTTTACATATGAATTTAGTGTTCAGCACACGCGCATGTAGCTGAGAAAATAGGCAGGGTTTTTCTTTGGCAATTTAGCGTAATCATTCTGCAAAGATATGAACTCAGTCATTACACAATGTGCACTAAAGGAGAAGTTATGCAGTGAGAGAAAGGAAATAATGCAGGTTTATAGCTCAACTATTTCCCGCCGAGCGCACTTCGTTTTCTGATCCGTTAACGGATGATGATCAACTTCAAAGACCCAGTAAAACTCACATCGAGCAGGTGATCTAACTAAACGAAGAATATATATTTATATGTATTTTTCAACCTGGGAAATTCTGTAGTTCATTTGCATTCTTACACTTGCCCGAACATATTACTGAATCATTCCTGCCGGCGAAGTCAATATTATACGGGCCTAAAACACACACTCTTATCTTTTGATGGATCGATGACAGTTATATCTGTTCGGGTGCACGTAGATGAACAGATGGCATATTTACGCTAGTTTCCGGTGGACATAATATTTTTTTCCCAAATAACGACTACCTATAAAAGTGGATCCTCATTAGTTTTGAGTTGTTTACAATTTTTTCAAACACCCATTTTCATATCCACGTTAAGAAAACTTTAGCTTGATGAAGCTATTTTCGTGTCGTGAATCACTTGCATCTGTTAAGTAAAACAGCATTCTGCATCTGGTGTAAAGAGCTTTTAGTCTTATTGGTCCGTTTACGAGTGGAAAAATAGAACTCTCGCGGCTTATGTCAGCAAAAGCGGTCGAATGTGATGTTTATTACACTCACGTCCTATAAAATAGTTTAAAAAACGTTGACTAAAATCGGCTGCTCTTGTGATTTTACCAAGTCACGGACCATTATAAGGGTGCCGACATACACTAACGGCAACTTTTGATTGAGTAAGTTGATGGGTGGTGCGATGAGAGGGATTCAATCCAGCAAAATGTCCACAGCCCTGTCTTTACGTTGTGCGCTGAGTAAGTACAAGCTTTACTACTTCTCTTGGTTATGCTTTAGAAACAAAGAAGACAATGAATTAAAAAATGAATTAAGGAATAAATGATAGGATATCAATATGTCGGTATCGGGGCATCATGCAACCCTCAGCCGCTTCAAACCAGAGAGACGCAAGTCAAGTGGCAAGTATTCATCTCTCTAAAAACAAATCGATTGAACTCGACAACGTCTGCTCTTGAGTTTTATCACATAAAACAACTGGCTGAATGCCGAGTTTGAACATTTTTTTTTATACAGTTTTTGCCACGACACAATTCGAAATGATTTGAAAGCAATGAGTCAGTACGAAACAATTACGAAGTTTTGAAAATGAAGTGCGGTCCGCGTGATCATAAAGATCAAAGGAACTGAAAGCTTTGTTCTTACCATCTTTGGCTAACTGGAGTTTCGTCGTTCGATGAAGCATCAGTCGTTCCAGTCCTGCTAAAACAATTAAAAAAAAAGGAAAAACTGTGATAAAATTAAACCCGGCGGTGCCATTTGTGTTCAGTAACCCTTTTTCTTAACATTTTGTAATATCGGTGTGTACGTATATCACTTCCGTGGAATTTATTCCACCTCACTAAAGCGAAAAAAAGTCTTGTGGTATTAACTCATCGATCATATTTTGGACTGGCTTTTGTGTTTTGTGTACTCTTGGGCTACATTGATTTGCAATTCGTATTTTCCATCCAAATTTTATTGTTATTATTATTAATATGTCATTTTGTCATTTTATTTATTTTCTCTTCGACTGAATTATAGACTTTTTCGTTTTTTCTCGTCAGATATATTAAAACAAACAATAACTTGATTGCCTCAAAAGTGCACTTGTACGCATGTTTCCTAAAATTATCTCAGTTATCCTTATCCGGGGACCAAACGTTTTTAAAATTAGAAATATATGATAAATTTATATTTGACCTCTGAATGATTGTAATGATAATAATAAAAAAGAAATGACAAAGTAATCCTCAAAGGTTAGGGAACACCATAGAAATTGAAGAGAAAAAAAAAGGTAAGAGGCCGTAATATTTGCATCTCTCCAAGAATGTTACTTAGTTGCTCATTTACTATTAGAACTGCGAGGGACGATTTTGAACCGCGTCAAAGTTTTGATCACCTCTTTGTGGTTTCTTTCTCCGCAATTGCTTTGATCGAGGTAATCTTTTAAGGACTGTTTTACCGTCATATTTCAACCCCAAGGAAACAAAATTGGTTCTAAGGAAATAGATAAAGTGCAATTTTTCGCACCAGGTGGAGGCTATTTTACAAACATCTTGGTCACAAACGTGTTAGCGTCGATAACGTTTCCTTTGCGATTTTTCAGTTTTCGCTAACAGCGCTCGATCGTTTCGAAGGAAAAAGTTTGCTTCTTCTTCTGTAACGGCGGCAAACCAATCAAACTCCTTGTATTAGCGCTAAAATAGCAACAGGGGAATATTACTAGGAATTTCCCATTCTTAGCCAGGGTCTGTTCGGTCAGTTAACGTTTTACCTCAAGTCTTCATATATTTAAGGGCAGAATTGTATTCGAGTCATTTTCGTTTGATAAGAGTCATTTTTGCAGTCAATAAGCTTGTTCAGGGTGACATTGTCTGCGTTTAAAACTAGACTGTGAATGGCGAAAGGTAAAAAAAGGGAAGATTCCTATGGTGAAACTAAAAAAGAATCCTGGCTGTAAGCACAAGTATCGAGGAAACTCGATGAGGAATGGTTGAAGAAACTCACCGAAACGGATAAGGGCTCGTGGTTGAAGCGACGGGCACACGGTCAGGAACCATTAACGAGTTCTGTCGCAGCATGCTCGAGCCGCTTTTGAGCTAAAAAAATAAATAAATACAATTGAAAAGTTAAAAAAATAGATAAATAAAAATAAATAATTCAATCCAAATTGCCGGCCAGCAGATTATTTAAATACCGTCTGGTACGGGCGACTATTACCCGCAAAATATGTTTTTGCTGCGAGTCTCCCGAGACAACGCGGGACACTTCTGTGCTTCGTAACTACGCGATAATAGAGAATTTAAACCATACGGTTTGCCTTGAAATTCGGTTTTCGAACTCCCCAACATACCATCCGCAAAACCCGGTGCGGGTTCCGTTTTCGAAATGGATCTCCCGCAATTGCCTGAGTGTAGAAAAAGAAAAAACAAACAAGAACATCATGGGGTGGTAATAAACTGAATATCAGCAGCAGGTAATTTAGTGTTAACAACTGGGTTGAAAAGGGTAAAAAAGCTTTAGCTAATTTACGTTTTCAACCCAGTTGTTAACACTAAATTACCTGCTATACTCTCCCACCGACGCAGCACCACTGTTTCTTTAGAAACTTACCCCTTTATTCATTTGAATATCAGCAGACTGCGGAACCTTAGAACCAAGAACCAGCGCAACCAGCGGAACAGTTATGATGAAAAAAAAATAATGATAAAAACTAAAAAAAATACCTTAACGCTGTTCGAGATTTTGTTTTCGTGTATAAAGAAGATAACATCATCAGATAAATATGTTTGTTAGTTCTTTGCTAATTTTTTTTTTGGTTGTTGTTTTTTTATTCTGTTTTTTTTTTTAATCTATCTATCTTGACGTCCGATAGGTAACAAGTTTTGTTCAGCTGCTTGCGGAAATACTGCACTTTTTTCTTTCAATTCCTCAGTTAGCTCCTTAGGGAAGGTAGAAAAGCCATGGGTAGATTTTAAGGTGCATGTAGCGAATAAAATGCTCTAGTACTGGTCTAACTTGAAATTTAAGAAACTATTTTGTTGTTTCAAATGTTACAATCGACATAACAGTAAAATTATTTTCCCATTTTCTCTTCTACAGTCATCCTTCATTTGATAATGGAATTGCCAGGAACAGGTGAGGAAGTGTAATTACAATTTAATATTTATGTATCTTAAAATGACGTGAAAATAAAGGATCCGACTGAATTATCAAAATGATTAGTTATAGACTTCCTGCTGCAATGACATCGTTTTGCGATTAAAAACATTAGTTGGAAAGCAAAACAAAAAGGTCAAAGATTAACGGTGCTATTACCCTGATTTCACCAATTTCCACTTATAAAACCTTGGCTAATTATAATTTTTCCTTCGGTGACGTAGAGGGTTTTGATGCCCATTGTTTTTTATCATTAATGGTATAAATTTTCTTTTTCTTCTCCATATCTTTATCGTTATTACTATTGTTATCATCAGTATACATTTTTTCCTTTATTTATTTATTTTTTTGTCTCCATGCCATCATCAGAATTATCACTATTGTTACAATCAGTATACATTTTCTTCGTTTATTTATTCCTTTATTATTTTTTTATAGAGTGCCAAGCAACCTGTTTCAAAAACTCCTGCTACATATTTTCGAAAAGCGGAAGATATTGGTATAGCAACAGGAATGTCTGTTACCTCCAGGGAGGTTACTTAGTCTCCATCGAAACTGAAGAAGAATGGCACTTTATCAATCATGAGATTCAAAAGCGTGGTACTTGGAATACTAGTGCGTGGCACATTGGTTTAGGGAAGAGAGACAAGGGTTGGACTTGGGAGAGTGGAGAACAACTGAATATTTCGAAATGGCAAGATTCTCAGCTAGATGATAACGACGATAGAGTGGAAATATCCAAGAATGGAAGCCTCTTTCATGGTATCTCTTGGGGTGATAAAAACGCCTTCATTTGCGAGATGCCCAGAAGTAAGATCACATTCCAACCATAAAGTATATTATGTGCAGTCTTGCACTTGTGTCATGAAAATCTCTCTTGCTTCAAGTGAAAATATTGTTCACATAATACGCTCAGCTCACCTAACTTGTACGTGTGAGTGACGAATGAACGTTTAAGCGCGCATTAGTGGTTGAACATAATGCCCGTAAAAAAAATCCGGGACATATGTTTCGAAAAAAATTATCACTCTAAAATTGTTCTTTTTTGCATCGCCTGCAGTTGAGAAAACAGCGATCGAAATAGTACATTTCACAATTTTTGTCGAGCCCGCTGAGATTGGGATAATCTAACCGGAATTTTCCCTTGCCACAAGTTACATGACGTGTTCACTGAGGTCAGTGAGTGAACACATGTTCTTTTGAACATAACGCTTCGAAGCATGTATGCCCAAGGTCTTGAATACCGGTACTGAAGACAGAGTGTGCAGTTTTTCCCAATACAAACCGACCTTGGCTGATGAAAAACATTTTTTTTTTTAATTATTAATTTTTTTTATTATTTAAACTCGACGAAATATTTTCCAGAAGAACCATTATGATTTAAGGCTGTAATTACGGCAAGATCCTCCATGAACTGAACGATTTTTGAGCGAGTAAATGGTAGTTGAAACACACTGAGTTAATGCAAATTAAATAGAGACTTTACTGAAATATTTTTATTTATGTAATGGAAAAGGTGATTTAAAAGGCTCCCAAAATAACTTTAAAACATTTTTTTTTACAAGCATCCGTCACAATATGATAACTGTCAATTAAGAAGCGTGTAAGAAGAAGCGCAACTTCTTGAGTTACTTCTAGTGAAGGTCTAGGTTAATTACAAACGGTTTTCAGGCCGCGTGTCAACCCATCTAATGACAAATTTGCCACCAAAAATCATTTTACCATTTTTTTGCCGGCAGCCACAGTGACTTAAAAGAGAGAAGGAGAGGATTAATAAGTTATTAATCAGCTTGATTTGCTTTAAAATGATTTGCTTAAAAATACTGCCCAGCTGGCAAACGATATATATTTATGAAAAATGGCAACGAAGCTAGGGTTGTAGCTAACGACTCGTGCAAGCGTTGCCGTGCCACTAGGCAGAGATAGGAAAATCCGGACGGCATTGAGAACCACAAAGATTGCACGGTTCGTTACCGTTCAGAAAAATAAACAACTACAGTTCTGTCGGGAAAAGTTTTCGGGAAAAAGCGTGTCAGAAGTGCAAGCGGTGACCTTCACAGATATTGTGGGTAGCTTTCAGGTCATAGTTAGACGACCTCTAAGAAAATGTCACTTTAAGGACGAGGCACCACGGGTTTGAACCTATTTTTAATGCAAGATTGACTTTAAATTCGAAACTGCAATCAAATCGGAAGAAAAGCACAAGCTAACCTTAATTAATTTATCTTTACTTTTTTATGTCCATGTTGATAACCGCCACCCAAGATAATCTTTTGAGTTTGTCGCGTTCCTTTTAGATTTTTGTTCTGTTTTGTTTTTTTCCGATAAACTTTCCCATAGCAACTGTATACGGTAAACTGCGTATCTCCAGTTGCACATTTATGAAAACTTACATTCACATTTAATTTTCCGTTTTTTAAGTCTGTTCAGATGGGGGAGGAAGAATAAGGGGCGGGGTGAGGGGAGGTGTCAGCTCAACAAGGAATTAATTAATATCCAAAAATTCAACTATTAAAATTTCATGAACTCACAGATACTTTTAGCTGAAGGTCAGAAAAGCAAGGCAGAGATGGTGGACGCCGTAGTGAAGAGAGACGTACTGTAATAATTGACACTGATCAAACATAAACTAAAGATGCTAAATTTAGAAAAAGGAATGAAATAGAAAATGAAAAACATCACATTTTCTTTCTCATTTTCTCCTCCTTTATTGTGATTGTGATCATAGTTTTTTTATGTCTTAATCATTGTTATTATTATCACTTTGTTTATCATCATTATGATAATTAGTATTTTTGTTTCCGTTTTTATCATTTTGTAGGATGCTCAAACATAACTTTTAAGAACTCTTGGTACATAATTTCAGTGAATGGATGGTCATGGCTCTTTAACAGAGAAACCTGCCAAAACCAAGGAGGGGACCTAGTATCCATTGAAACCGAAGAGGAATGGAAGTTCATTAATGACGAGATTCAAAGGCGAAATACTAAGTACTATATAAGTACATGGAGTATCGGTTTAACAAAAAAAGCCGGGAATTGGACCTGGGTGAGTGAAAGACCGCTGACTATTTACAAATGGGGAAAAGGGGAGCCAAGTGGTGAACACGAAAAGGCCATCATGTACAAGCGGTCCAGTAATGGCAAACCGGGCGTGTTTGGTAGCACAGCTTGGGGGAACTGGCACGCTTATATTTGTGAGATTTCCAAGGGTAAGTTTTTCTTTTAGTTTGTTTTGTTTTGTTTTATTTTTTCCCTTTTTGTCTTCTTATTCTTATTCTTCTTCTTCTTCTTCTTCTTCTTATTATTATTATTATTATTATTATTATTATTTTGAGTAAACTAAAAGACACCAGAAGCGCTTAGGCGTAATAAAAACATTCTTTGCTATCCTTTGTGATACTCACGAAAGGATTTATATAAACCCTCTGATAGTCAGGATCAAGTGAATAATTGCATTTGCATGAATGAAAATATGTTTTAAAACAATCTCAATGAACGTTTACACGATATACATGTTTAACTTTTAACCTTGCGAGCAGAGGAAATTTTTAAATGGTTCTGTTACTATTACCATTACGAGTAACAACAATTGTGAAACTTTCAGTTGACGCTAATTTTCACGTAGTTAATTTATCCTTTCGACTGAATGAAATGGTGGTGAATACCAAGTGCAGAGAATCAGCGATCCGATTGCTTTGTTAGATAGCAGCACGTGATGTGAAGTGCGTTATCTTTTGTGAAAAGATAGTGACTCAGTCGGTAAAGATACATGCCAACTGTCGTTTTATAAAACAAATGCAAAAGACTTCGAGACTTATTTTTTCTTCGCAGAGGGAATCAATTTTTATGTTTATTGTATTCTATTTCGAGATCCGATCCTTTGAACTGTAAAGTTCTAGGGGCTAAATTTAATGCAATGCAAAATGTGTAGTGAACATAAGAATCTGACCATTCTGCTTTTAATTCGAATAAGGCAAACATTTCGATCAACCTAACAACCACTACTCTACAGCGAGGATAGTAAGGGTTACCTCAGTTCTCGTATGTCACCAGAGCATGTAGATATTTTTTTTCGTCAACACTGGGTTGGAATTTAATGGATGTTCTGCCTTCTAAAATAAAATAAACATAGGCATGCATAGCATATAAGATTCGTTATTTTGGCTCGGGGGGTTGAGATGGGACACTTTGGGTTCCTAACGTTTTCAGTTTTATAACAGAAAAAATTAACATGCGATGGGATTAATTCTGAGGTAACTGAAAGGGACTTTTGTTCGTAGAAAAAGTCAATACACAGGAGAACTGCGTTGAAAATTTACTCTCAGGAACATTTAGTTCCGTCTGAAATTTTTTGAGTGGTGTTGGATAGTGCGGTTCGAGTAAGTGCTAAAATGCAGAAGAGAGAAAGATGGATTCGTCTTGTCACGAGCGTGGGACAAAGAAAAAAATTCTGAGTCCCATGAGGAATCGAACCTCAGACCTTCGGATTCCGCGCTCCGATGCACTACCACTGAGCCACAGAGACTCCACGGTGAGCGAAATCTATTACGCAGGTTGTTTACAAGGAAATGACACATGATGGAGTCAGGCCTAATGAGGCAAAATGAAAATTGATCGGTGGAATACAATTTAAGCGCATGGAAAAGTGCCACGTGTTCATGTAATGCAATTGTGTAGAACGTTCTGATCGGACTTTGAAGGTTGATGGAAATGTTCTTACGTTCGGCGGAACTAAACTGTAGGGACAGTGACAGAGAATGTAAATATTTTCCGATCGGTATGTAAGCACGTGAGCCGTTATGACGTTAATTGCGTTTTTTCTTGTAGGTCGTATATGAAGTTTGACATTTGTAATGTTTCATCTCATTTCTCGCACTTTTCCAGCTTTATGTTAAAAGTTTTTCTTGCATGTAATTGTATCTCCATAAAGCCAATGGCTAAGAAGTAAACCACTTACCTATCTTCGGTATCAATTAACGAAAACCATTGCTTGTTAGTCTTTTCCTTTCATAGCAGTGTTAACAATGGGGATGTTCGAGGTATTTTGTAGTGTATTCCAATAGTGTCCATTGGCATAGCACACTTCGGGTGAAGCACTTCGTAACAGTGGCGCATCACGTATAGTGTTTATACGCATTAGTAAAACCTGTGTTGAAGAAAACCAAAAGGATCCTCGCTAGCGTCTACTTATTATAAAATATCCGTTTCATCCAAGTTTTGTAAATTGAGCGATGATAACAAGCTTGAAGTTTTGAACCTTTACGCCCTCTGTGTTTCCTGTCATTCGCTACCCTATTATTTTGAAAAATATACAAACACGTGTTAAGAGGTAAGCCGTAAAACGGCAAAAGAGCTCAATTAATATCTCATTCTAATCGAAGATTTACAATCTCATCCATCTTAAGCATCATCATTAGCATCGGCATCAGCATCGCCATCGCTATCTCTATTGTCATCGCCATCGTCATCTCTATTATCATCGGCATTAGGATCAGCATCGCCATCGCCATCGCCATCGCCATCGCCATCGCCATCGCCATCGCCATCGCCATCGCCATCGCCATCGCCATCGCCATCGCCATCGCCATCGCCATCGCCATCGCCATCGCCATCGCCATCGCCATCGCCATCGCTAACAGCACCATCGTCATTGTTATTTAGGACAGTTGAGCATTTGGTTTGTGTTCTGAATAGTTCTTTAGCGTTTCTTTGCATGTCACTTTTCGAGATCTTCTCGGTCCATTAATGTGACAGACAATTGTTTTTTTTTTATTATTATTCCAGGCAAATTACTATGTGTCAAAATTATCCGGAATAAATGTTACCAGAAAGATTTCCATACAGGTATGCAATTTTCATAACTTGAAGGCTTTTAACCCTGATATATCTATTTACACCATAAAAAAGTAAATATCTGAAATTTAAGATAAACCACCATTCAAGCCATACAGGGTGAAAATGGTGAGGCTTAAAAAGTAACCCAGGACCCTAAAAGAGTTATTTTGATGAGGAATACCCTGGACACCATCTGGGGCCTCCTGCTTTGTGTTAAATTGTGTATATGAGACTGGCTAGTTAATGATCTGGGAATATTTACGTAATTATAGGAGGCTGTAGGTGTGTTTGAAGATTTCACCATAAATCTCAAGAAAGTCGCAAAAGGCAAGGTCAGCATGGAAGAGGTTAAGACACTAAGAAAATCCATCTTTGAGGTGGCAGAGGCCGTCGAGAAATTTGCTATTAATTATGGCAAGCAACACCTGAGTGGAATGAGGCCTTCAGAAAGGATCGTTTTCCCAAACATGGGTGAGGTGGCGGCCTTCAATCCTGTTTAGTTTCAAAATCTATTGCTTTGTTACTTACTGATTTGCTGACTGACCGACTGAGTAACATAGTTTTCAAGATAAATCTCAGTTATAGACCAAAATTATTAGAAACTTTATTGTTGGATGTCATTGGTTCATCTGCTCGTTTTTTTAACTTTGACTTTTTGCGGTGGAGAAGGAAATAAAAGGTGGTTTGAAATCAACAAGAGAGAATAGGAATCCTTCAAAATTCTGAAACCCTTCGTCTTGCTCTGTTTATAGATTGGCGAGTAACACTTTACTTACTGAAATTGTCAAATCTTACAAATAATGTCCCCTTACTTCATACTATGCACTGAGCTCAAAATAAGTACATCGTCTGCGATGCATATATATGCAAGATTTTTAACCGTACTCATACAAACTCCCTAATGAACTCTATTGTTCTCCGACAAAACGCTTCGAGGAACGAAATTAATTTTCACAATTTTAGTCCGTGCAGTACTACATACTTTTTAATCAGTTTTACATAAAAAATCATTTTTAAAATGATTGAATCCGTCGAATATTCGCTGAAGGGCAAATAAAGTACAAACGGTACACGTCCACTCACTAAGATTATAAAACATTTTGTGTACTTCGCAAAACTCATGTTTTGTAGACGTGCTATTGTTAATTTCACCGTGAGTGCTTTTATTTGTCATTGAGTTGTTTTTCTGACAGTTTTGGCCATTCAAAAAGCCTATCGCCAGAATGGGAGTTTCTTCCACTTTGATGAACAACGATGGCAAGCGACAATCGATATCGCTTCTTCAAATTTTGAGGAAAATGGTTCGTATTAACCGGCGTGTTAACTTTACAACTTTTAATTACCTTAGTTTCTCCAATCTGAATTCCTGTATTGAAATAAAGCCCCATAAAAATGCGCTTCATTAGTTTACATAGTCTATTTTCTTGAATTCTTTGCCTTCCTTCTAAAGTCACATACCTCAGGGCCTGATAAAAATTTGAAATTTCTGTTTTTGTTTTTTCTAACTTATTTTTTGTTAATTCTTGGGGGGTTTTAAGGATCATTGGTAGTGGCTTTTGTGTACAAGGATCTGCATGACCGACTTCTGACGGACCAACCCATCAGGAATGAAACAGTCAACAAAAGGTCATGATATTTTCATCTCCTTCTATGTCGCTTACCCCCCAAAACACATAATATGGAAACATAAGATTAAAGTTCAACCAAACTGAGCGTAGAAACTTTCAAAAACCTCATATAGGGTTCGAAGTCTTCCTGTCTGTCTCAGACAATTCCATCTTCATAAAAAACTCGCTTGAATCTAGCAAGAGTATATGTTTGTTGATTCCTCGATTTTGGTTCATTTACAAATATAATTTCTTCATAGGTATATCAACTCCAGGATAATGGCCGTAACTATGGACCCCAAGCCTAATAAATTGGCAGAAAATGTCATCCTTAAGTTCAAAAACCTAAAGGTAACATTAAAATTAGTTGCTACGCGCTATTATGATTCATTCTGACTAGATAAAATCTATTTTCAGGTTTTGACAGCAGAGAAGCGCTGCATGTTTTGGAGTGGCCTCAGCAAAAGGTAAAAAATACCTGTATAGTATTTCTTCGTTCTAAAATTAAATTAAGTATGGCAGAGTATGAATGAAAGTTCATAGTCGGATGTTTCCCGGAGGCCAACATGTTGTCGTTTTTAGAGAGAGGAAGTCTGACTCAAATGTTCTCGCTGCTAAAACTACAATGGAGGAAAAACCTAGCGCAAATTGTCAAACATCACCTCTTCCCCAAACGATGAATTATTTTGTGTGCTTTGTTAATTTAATTTTTCAGGTCTGAGGGATTTTCAGAGGAAGGATGCCATGTAGTTAAATCAAAAAGCAACTCAGAAGAAACAGTTTGCAGCTGCAATCATTTGACGCATTTTGCCGTCTTAATGGACTACGACGGTAGCTTAAAGGTAATCAAATAATTTTTGCCTTACTCTATCATTTTATGGGCTCAATTAACTACATCAATGTTCTCCTTTAATTTTTTTCTTTTTTGACATAGCTCACCAAGGAGGACGAAACAGTCCTGAAAGTTATCACCTACGTGGGACTGAGCCTTTCCATCGTCGGGATACTTTTAACATTAATACTTTATTATTGCCTCACGTATGTAATGTACCTGAATATTGATGACGTAGATTCTCATCTCCCCTCAACTAGACTAGAGAGAAAAGAGATCTCAATGCAAATCTCCATGCCGATAAGAAAATACATGTCGGCCGAATAACTCACAAATTCAAAGTAGATTTCATGCCCCATTAAGAGCGCTTGAAATGCTCATGGTTTCACGGTTCATGAATTGTTTAGGGTTTAGCCATTTTCCTCAAAATGCTTTCCTTTTTTGGTCCTTTCTAGAGCTCTTCACTGTCTTTTTTTTTCCTTTGATGTCAAGATTTAGTCGATATCTTTAACCACATTTTGCTGTATCTTTTGATTAAATTTTGTGGTTCTTGCTGTACTTACCTATTATTTCATCAGAGATGTTCGTCAACCTCTCTCTCAAATTCGACTGAGTGTTTCTATGTCCCTTGGAGCTGGACAGATCATCTTCCTCGCGGGAATAAACGCCACAGAAAACAAAGTTAGTGGCCTCTCTTTCATATCCATAGAATGAATCTACTCTTTGCACCAAAAATATCTAATCTAAAGGAGCGCGATAAGAATAGGAAAAAAAATATTTCTCTTCACAGGCTGCTTGTGTTACAATAGCAGCTCTGATGCAGTATTTCTTGATGGCCGCTTTCTGTTGGATGCTGATCGAGGCAATTTATCTCTACCTCTTCGTTGTGAAAGTTTATAATATCAACGCCAAGATGCACATGTATCACGTCCTCTCATGGGGTAAGTTTATTATTTTACAACATGCACAGGTAGCTATAACCATGCATCAGTGCTTTCGGATCGCCAAAACCGGTGTTGTCATCCATTGCAGTGTTTGTATTTCCTTTCTTTCTCTATGGGTAGGTCTTCCAGTGATCATGGTGGCCATTTCACTTGGCATCGCTGCTGGGAAAGAAGGATTACAAAGCTATACGAGTGATAAATAGTGAGGAAAAATTCAACGGTTCCTTCTTTTACTTCATTTCATTACATTCTTTCTTTTGTGTTTTTGTGTATAGTTTTAAGTCAGTATCATTTCATTTGTTAAAAATTTGTCTTTCTTTCCTGCCTTTCATTTCTTCGAGTTTAGTTGCTGGCTTTCCTCGACTAACAACCTGACCTGGATATTCGTCGCCTTTGTGACTTTCATTGAAGTTGTGAGTTTATGATTCGTGTTGGTGATTATGATTGGTATACTTGGACTAATTGCTGCCAAAAGACCTTTTCCTCTGCTCTTTAAAAAGCGAATTAAACCTTTAACTCCCAGGAGTGATCAACATGAAACTTCTCTCTGTAATAGCCTTACATTATACAGGAAACAGCGAATGAGAATATGTAAACTTATCAGGTAAAAGTTGTTGCCTTGATCTAACACCAAATTCTCATAACTATTTTTAAAAATATTTGTAGCAGCTAGAGGGGAGAATTACTAATCAGATCTTGGGAGTTAAAGGGATAAGTATTTATGATATGACCACACAATATTTACCATTTATCTTTTGCTATTTACTCACGAAAAACTTTGGACGGAGCTGCTGTTTACGGGGATGGTTGTCAATTTTAACCTACTGATGGCCTTCAATAGCGAGAAAAACCTTTGAGACAATGTCTTCACAGGCATAAAATAGCTTCATAAATTCTCCAACTTTTACTTTATAGCGTAAAAAAAAAATCCTCACTGCCTCCATATTAATGTTCTCACACTGTTTCACATTGATATACCAAGATGATGTTTCGCGCAAAAATCACTGATTAAAAAAATTTAATTAAAAAAGACTTTGACAAAGATGAAATAGCAGGGAGAGTAGGAGATATTGAATTTATATAATTTAACATGAGGCTTCACTTGGTATGGTTCATTCAGTTTAGACACTTTTGTTCGCAATTTCTTTAGCCCATTGTCAGAGGATCGAAGCTCATAATTTAGGTCCCCTGGCTGGGAGTTCTATTCCCTGTAAATGACTCTTCATTCCACCCTCCTTACCAAAACTAATGACGTCTTTGGCAAGGATCGTTTCTTGCTTTTTCGACAACCATATCTAAATAATCAATTTATTCCTATCGTATTTTTAGCTCAACATCTTGATACTCGTAAGCGTTATAAAGGAAATGACCAATTTGGTGCAGCCAACAGCGGAAGACAACAATTTTCAGCAAGTACGGTAAGACCTGCAACGTAAAACTAAAACAAAATAGTGGACGAGATTGCCATGTGCTCCTGTGAGGCGATAATCGCCTAACTTCCCCATTCCTTAATCAGGAAGGCATTCCGATATCTAACAATGAAAATTATTTGTCAAATTAAAATAAAAGAATGTCTTTTCTTTCTTTGTTTTTAACTCCTAGACTTGGCATCAAAGCATGCGTGGTGATAAATCCCCTGCTGGGTATCACGTGGTTATTTGGTCTCCTTTTGCCTGTGCATAAAGCTTTTGCCTACATCTTCACCATACTCAACTCTACTCAGGTGAGTGTTCAATGGTTACTCTCAAAAATCATCCAATCTTGATTGATTGATTGAATTTGTCAACCAAGCGAGACACCATTACAATGGTTACATGATATTTATTGGAATTATGAAAACAAAAAGCTGTTAACTATGCTGAATAAAACAGATTTCTTCTTTATTTCTTCAATTCTTCCTAAATTTCTCTTCATTTGCATCTAAATAGATATTTCCCTAATTTTTTTTAAATATGTTAAAAAGGAATGATCTGAAATCATGCTTATCCTGCAGGGTTTCCTGATTTTCGCTTTACACTGCATGCGAAACAATCAGGTAAGAAAAAAAATTAAGCTGTTTCTACACTAACTGCATATCATCAAGTTGTAGTCTTTCAATAAATGTGTGAGTGCTCAGAACCAATATTTATGTTGCTCATCTATCTGCAGATCAAAGAAAGATTCAAAAGAAAGATGAACATCGTTTTTCCATCTTCAATAAAGGACAACGCCACAAGGAAGTGCTCACAGGTCAAACAAGTGAGATTGTGCTGAATTTGAATCCAAATCGCACTTAACTCAAGTAACTGGATCTAGCCAACTAGAAATAACCGTCAATTACTTAGTGCAATCATTTAGTTAACAGCGATTAGTCGGTTGCGATCGGTCTGAGGTACGATCTGCAGGTTAAGGTCATTCTGTTTATTATTGTTTAAGCACTCATGCAATTGTAAATGTCACCTATCTTCTTCATGATTGTAAGTTATAAGTTTATTTTCTGAGCGATCGTATATTTGCAGGCAAAACTCATCGAAATAAACTAATCTAAAAATGTTTATTTCTTATGGCTCAGTCTGTTGATGGCTGCCCTTCGAATAGGAGTACAGGGAGAACTACTTTCAAGATTGTTGATATAATTTTTAAGGAACTTTTGAGACAACTGTGAGATTTTGTCAGTGGTTGAGCTAAGATATGGTTTTTGATGCGCTTAAATAAGTTTATTCAGGATAAATACTGTACTTCCTTTAAGAGTCGCTTCTTGGTAAGAATATTACAAGTTGTTTAATATTGTTCTTTCTGTCGGTTAAATTGTACTGTAACAAATAATACTAATAGTAGTAGTAGCTAAAGCGGATATTCAAAGTTGTTGCTTAATGAATAAATAGATGAATACGTAAATGTTTGAATAAATAAACAACTAATTTAAAAAAAACCGAAAAAAAAACCCTCATGATTGGATCCTTTTTGGATCAGTTACATTTACCCATTTTAAATTTTTTTTTTCGCAATTAAAGCACGCGTTATATCCGAACTCTATTATAGTGATATTTTATTCTCCGCATCCATAAGATAAGGGGTACCGTTTTGAATAGAAAATACATCGAATGATTAGGAATCTAATATAATAGGGGCTATGCTATGCCGGAAGTGGCATAAACCAAGAGATTATAATCTCTTGCGCAAACTTCGTTTAACAGCAATTAAAGAACATTTACACAGAGTACACAGTTTATAAGAAAAAAACTTAGCGATAGAAATGAGGAATATTTCCATATGCCTTGTTTTCAAGTATCACTACAACTGGAAGGCAAGCATTGAAGAGGAATTTCAACAATTGAGAGAAGGAGTCGATAATGTAAATATGCCCAACTTGGTTTACAACAGTCTAAACTATGTCATACCTATTTATAAATCAACATGGATAATGAGGCGTACGATTTAGGCGGAAGAAGGTACACAGAAGAACACTCTGGAATGCGCAAGTACTTTTCTCTCCACAGCGCTCAAATGCGATAGGTCAACTCGCTTCAAGCTTCGATTGACTAAGTATTTCGCAGCTTAGACTAGGGAATATTCCCGAATAAATAATTGATTATTCTATGAACGCGGAGCGGAATGTCTTGCCCACAGAGCACATCACTGACCCAAGAACATCGCACACTCAGACCTTTAGACCCTACTTCTCGTTATAAAATGTTGGAATTGAATCATTTGGGCACAAAAGTGATGGTCTGCCTTACGCTTTTGAAGGGGAGAGTTATTTTGGAAGCTGAACATTAAAATCATCGGCCGGTAGCCTCCGGTGGTATTCTGATTAATTAACGATTAACTTTATGTAAACTCACATTCAACTCATAATCTAAGACAACCGACAAGAAATCCTTTGACTCGGAGTTTGCCGTGCTATGAAAATAATAATGCACGTTCATTAACACATGAGCGAGTTAGTCCATCAGAGTTGAAGGCATACGAAGTAAATAGACCCACCAACAGAAACGCGTAGCACGTCATCGGCGAGATGAATAAATAATAATTTCCATTTATGCATACGAGCAGATGAAATACTATCTTTAGCTGCCGGTTAATAAAACAGTAGCTGGTTTAAGACAAAGTTCATTTAGCAGAGCTCATAGAAAAAAAAAAAAAAAAAAATTGTTATCTTTCTTAACATCAATTTTATTTGAGCTGCTTCTTTACAAAACTTGAACCACAAAAACTAGTTTAATGCCTTGAAGCTTTTCGATTGAATAAAAAAAAACAAACAAACAATGCTCCACATCAGGTGCAAATCTGTGGTCCGTCTATAACAGAAAAAGAAAGAAGGAGACACACGCTGTGAACATCGATCAGAGATAATGATTTGCATCAAACTCTAACTCGCACGAAAGGTTTTATGAGAATGTCGCAAATCCGCAACTCTCAAGCAGGGTGAAACAAATACAAGTGTAACAATAGCTTTCAACAGCAACGTTTGCATATCTTGGGCATGATGAAGTGGATGATAAATGGAACTGAATCGGTCAAAATTTTCAAAACCCTTTTAATATCTTGTGTGCTGGGTAAGTACGACGTTTGTTATTCCTTTTTTCAGCTGTTCTGCGGTAGCTATGAAATCGTCGAACTTGACTTCCCATTTGTGAATAATTCAGTTTGATTTTTAAACCTACGGAACTCTAATAACGAAACATACCAAACTCTACACACGGGCTTTCTAAACTATTTGTTAATCGCTAAAGGAAGAGTTAGGGATCTTTGTATTATCATTATTATTATTATTATTAGTTTCTCAATATTTTTCACTTTCCATACAATGCCAAATAATTGAAAAAAAAATTAACGGGAATGACACATTCGGATAAGTTTAAAGACAGCTGTTGACAGCAACCTATAACAGCATCGTGCGCTTAATGAATTGTGTGATGCGTACAACTGAATCCTGCAAAGTGTGGAAAGCTTTTCGTAAAAGTTATGCCCCAGGTAAGTACCACCTTTATTATATCTTGACTTTTCATTTGCGAAACATTTATATCGATTTTAGAACGGCCTGTGAAATTCAACCAAACCGCAAACCAAGAAGAAATGTCAGGTGGCGGTTATTTGGTACTGTTAATTAAAACAAAACAAACCAGACTCTAAAGAGGTCCGATTTAAACTCATAGATTATAATTAGAGAAGGATCTCTTACAACTTGGATTCCTGAGGGCTTTTAGATTCCATATAGCGGAAAGTAATCAGAAAGCAAATAGCACAAGCGAGACATTCATTCGTGCAGTGGTCATGTTGTTTGCCCTTAGTTTTCTGCAAAACAGCTTTGGCAGCCATATTTAGGATAATAGAAACACAATAGCTTGATTGCTATCGTTTTATGCCACTATTACATGATGCCAAAAGGGAAAAATGTCTCCTCTTTCTATGCGTCAACTAGCTGCTGAAAGTTCTACGTGTTAGACAAGCGATCATACTTAATCAACAGGGTCCACTTAAATTGGCATTAGTTTAGATAGATGCAAAGGTCAACATTCGATCCGAGTTTTGGAAGAAAATGGTTGAATTGGTTTACTTTTTCCTTACTCATCGCAAGTTTAAGCACCATTGCTATTCTATGGTTGATTTTCAGAATAAGCTAAGGGCTAAAAAACGACGTGCACCCACAGAAATGATATAGAGATTTAGCCAAGCCTAAAAGCGGAGCTCTTGTCAGTTTATTTTCTAGCCCCACATTAAAATAAAAACTTTAAAAAAACTCTGCAACACTGGCTGTGAAAGAGTTTCTTCAAGGGGATAAGGAGACCACTGCGGGGGATGTGGAGGGAAGGGAAGAATTGGCGATAAAACAACTTGCGATAAAACGCATGCTAGTCAGCGGTATCTTCAAGCAGCTGAGGACCTTCGTTGTAGTTCCTGATGTTTTGAGCAAATTCTCGGAGATATAGAGTCTATTCTTCTTCAGAAGAAGTGTGCGATGTCAGCATCAATTGAAATTATTTTCTTTCGAGCGTGACTGATAATAATTTTGGTTTGGGAAAATGAGCCAAAATTGAAAGAAACGACGGTAAACTACTTCGAGTTTAGACATCAACAGTCGATTGAAGAGTATCCCCGTGATAACAGTGAATTAGTTGTTGAAATTCGTTATTAGTAAATTCGTTTTTGGAACATTGGCACATCTCTGTAGCATAGTAAAATTACAATAATAATACAAGGTTACCTTGCTACTTTGAGGTTCTCTTTTCTTTTTTAAGCCCAAGACAGACCCAGGCCGCAGTTGTCACCAAGTTTTTCAGCCGTTAGCTCAAGTTCCTCGAATACCTTGGCCCCATGTGCGCCAACATAGTCCAATCCCTGTTATGATTTCCTCATAGAGGCCGAGCACACATGCAGGACTCTGTAAAGAGTACTGCGTCCCATTGGTTTGAAACCCTATTCACTGTATAGCTCCTCGTATTGCGAAATGTTCGTTGCCGGAATGACACTTCGTATGACATTCGGTAAAGTCAGTTCCTCATTAGATGACAATTTCAGCTTTTTCTCGCTAAAAAGAAGATCTTGGGTGATGTGCGTACTCGTAATGAAGTTTATGAAGTGGCTCAGTTGCCCTGGTGCTATATACATCTGAGTGTACTGTGTAGTCGGCACCACGGCTCCATGATCATGAAGAAGTTGGTGGTGTCTGAAAATGTCGGATCTATACCTTGTCAGATCAGGTATCTATTTCTTCAGCATTTTGAAGCTGATTTTGTCAGACAGAATAGAAAGGATTTGTCGGCGAATGCTCCAGTGGCCTGTTTTGTTGAAGCATTCAGTGAGGGACTCCAGAAGTGTCACGTCAGCATGGTCTTTAGTATCCAGTAGGAGCTCGCATGCTTTTGATGACAACAAGGCCTCCCATAGACGTGGCGTGGACGGCTTGGCGCGCTTTCCTGACGTAATGACGTTTAGTCCTTTCTTTGGTGAAATGCCACGTTGTTTTTAGCTTATATCTGATGGGACTGATATCTTTGCTCAATAATAATTCATTTAGCTTGTCTTTACTGCTATCTTAGCGTGTATGGTCTCGTTATCAGAATCGTCCGAGCTCTCCGATGGTTTGTACGCACTGCGTGGTGTCTCTTCTGTAAAGTGGTGGGTAGGTGTTAAATGAGGCATTTCGTTATCTGAGTCCACCTAATGCAAAAAAGTGTTGATTAGACTATGGACGAAATGCTGTTCTGATGCGCTCACGAATATCAGATAATAATAATAAAAACAACAAATAAATCTGTCAAGGGCGTGGCACATGCTGCTCCTTCCTCCATATCAGTACTCGTGACACCAGCAACACTGAAAAAGGAGCTTTCAAAAACACTCTTTCTGCAGTCTCTTCAAATGCCTGGCGGAACAAACAGAACAATTGTCACCTTCAAACCAAATTCGCCCCGAAACGTGAAAACCAACGCTGCGTGTTCGAATAGAAATGTTTACTCAAATTAAAGCCGGAAAACAAAGAAGCACACATATTTCTGCAGAAATGTAAACC